GTTTTCGAAATAAAATGATGCTTCGAATACGCAAAACTGGTGAGGCTTTGGCAAAAATGAGCGTCGCGTTGGAGTTGGTAAATAGATGTATTTCTGCCATTCACCAATCGTCACATTGTATTCACCCACGGCACAAAGATTCACTCGAATGTTGCGCATACTGTGCACCACTTTCTTGGTATTCTCATCCACTATAATTTCTCGTTTTTTTTTTACTTCTCAGAACTTTGAGAATGTACTAGCCGTCAGTGTTTTAAACAGCGAAAGGCACGTCCGCAAGTAATGCAGGTGACTATCCCGTGTAGTCGATGATCGACGTGTGGGTAACCCTCCTTCAGCTTTTGCCTAACGCGCTTGCAGAGAAAGGAGTATTTAATTTTATCCCTTTTGATTTTATCCTTTTACGTGTTTATTTTTTTCTTTAACATTACTTTTTTAGCTGTGGAGGTTCTCGAATTTGATCGCTCATTTGCGCACTCAAGAAGCTTATCAACAACGCATTTGTTGTCAATTCGCCGTTACGGCCCAGTCGATGTTCTCGACTCGTCGTTTCTTTATCATCGATTTCCCTGGCCTGCTACTGCAGACTTGCCGCACGCAGTCTTACATGATCAGGAATAATGTGTACTCTATTCCGTAGCATGCGATGATCGTTCCTTATTGAACGAGAGTGTTGCCGATTTCGTTCATCGTTTCTACGTTTGATACAGTCCGATAGTTTATCTCTATCCTGCATCTTTTCGGATCCAGATATTAGTAACAAGTGGTTTTTCGGCCTCACCTCTGACTTGCTTAGTGTCTCACTTACCCGCGTGCTTCTTTCTTTCTTTCTCCCTTTGACATAACTTTGTATTGAAATCCTTTCTTACAACCGTGCATGTGGACTTAGAATTTAACATGAATTTGAACTCGACACAAAGCTTTTCTACCTCATCGTCATTATTGGCTGTGATGGGAATGTAGACTTGAAGGATTCTGAAAATCCAATCCTAGGATGAGTGTGATGATCCATGGCAAGTGGTACTGGCAAAAGATGATCTGTGGCGACCAGTCCAACTAATAATTAACCCGACTTTGCCAACATCCTCTGTCTCTCTTCAGTGCCAAGCAAAAATGTTTGTTTGAAGCAAATATACATCGGGGGCATTTCGGTTAAAATCCTGGCTATTCCATTCAAATAAAGGCGAATGACAGGGTCACCAGCATGTTGATTTCCAAGTGACCCCCTCCCCCGCTCAGCTCTACCCTTCTCCCTTTCCGATTTAAAAAAAAGTCAGATGAATAGTTTTGATAAATTTTTTTCTGCTCACCAACTGGCAAGCTGTAAATAAATTTCCGATAAAGCCATGGCCGTCCGTAAATATCGGTCCTATTTTCGAATTCCCTTCCATCGGGCTTATAGAATGACCGGATTTCACTCCGACTCTTCCACGCTTCTGCATTGATGCTTGCATATGAGAGAATCTTTCGATCGTCGGTATAGGCGCAGTCTTCAAAATCGATTCCGCAGCAACAATAGAAAAAGAATTCCAGTGGTGATAAATAGTGCAGACACGTTGTTCGTCTGCACTCTGACGCACGTCCAGACATTACGATAGCGGCAAGTGATGTCTGAAACGGTTGCGTTTGAGTAGAAGTCCGGAAAACAGATCGAGGGGGCGCTTACTTTCATTAGCTATCGTGCACCGAATCTCCCAAGTGTAGTGCAGGAAAAAGGACTATGAGCTTGCTTTCACACTTGTCGGGTATGTTAATTTGCGTTTATTTTTTTAATATTCAAATCCTCTTCCATATTCTTCATGGGTGAGAAGCGTAAACATTTGGGAGTAACTGACAGCAACCACTCGCTGACAGGGCTGTCAAAGTTTCCTCTTTCACCGGTTTCTGACAAGCAGTTATTGGCCAGTCTGATTCCCCAATATCTTATCAACACAAGTTTACCATCTAAATGAATTTGCGAAAATTGTCTCTCACCGTTGGAGTCGAACCCCGTATATGCTTCACAACAACGGTACTACTTTACATACTACGCAACTCATGCCGGCAATAATATAAATAAATATGCAATAGGAATCAGTATTATTGTGCAAATATCGTAACGTACATTGATTCGATCTGTAGACTGTGAGGACTGATCGAAACTATCTAACGAAAATGGCCCGGTATAAAGGCGACTGCTTGAACTAGCATCCAGCAGAAATAAGCAAGTTTGGAGGCCGGCCCGTCGCTCCTGGAAAATGAGATTATGAGAAAAAAAAAAAGCCAAGCGGAGGAGCGAGTTACACGTCACGCTGACATTCTATGGCCTATTAAAGAGTGACGCTCTCAAAAAAATCATTGGCGACGCGCAGTAGGCGTGCCCGTGCGATCATGAGTTTTTGCAGTGTTTCTTGCTGCAATAAGATCACTCGAAATTCCGCTAGCTAAAAACCTCTTGTACATACTGGTCCTCGAATTTCGGGGACTTAATTATCCACGCTATACTTGAACAGGGACCATTCCCTTGAAATTCCAAATTCCCAGCTTTCTCAGTTCCCGAATTACCCAAATTCCAGCCAGAAAATTTCTCGGGACCGTACGTGGCAACCACGCATAACGGGGGACTGATTTGATAAATTCAAGTTGCAGATGAGTTGGGAACGTTTTCTGAAAGTTTCAGTCTCCCAGCTTTCCTGGTTCCGTAGTTAGCCACTTTCTCGCCACAAATTTCCACGGGGGCATACGTGGCAACCACTCACAAAAGGGGGCTGAGTTTGAAATCTTTGGGTTCTACTTGGACTGGTAACATAATCCCAAAATTTCAGCTTTCTAGCTTTTCTGATTCTCGAGTTAGCGATTTTCCCGCCACA